TTGACAGCCAGGAGAGGCATTGCTCTGACTTTGGTTTGTATTGGAATGTAAAAGTCATAAATGTCTGAATAGGACAAGGAGTTTGTAAGTGAAAGGGACCTTTCCGGATCCATCTGCCCAGGAAACAACTGCGAATGGTTTGCGGCCTGTTTTTAGGAGGATAAAGGTGGCTGGGGGATGTTACACCGTTGTTTCTGAAGTTGACTGGCCTGCAACTCTGAACATGTCAAGTTGGTTCCTTTTTGGATATTCCCGTCTTCTTGTGCCCTTTACTCTCTTCTTCTCATTTTAAGGTTAGACTAGAGGAATACTTGACATCAGGACAGAAGAGGAAGAGAGCCATGCTCCAGGCAGTCTCTGCTTCCAGAAAAGCAAAAGACACCACTCCAGAACCCCTAACAACCCACTGTCTGCCTTCCAAGGAGGTGTTGCAGGGGTTCCTGGCTTGAATCTCATCACTGCCACTTACTAGCTCTATGACCTCTTGGTACCTTGGTTTCTACCACCTTTAAAAGGCTCCAGGCACGAAATAGTCATCGCTTAATAAGTGTTAGTCATTATTCCTTCTTGTCATGACTCTTCTCTTTTACTTTCAGTGAAACCGGGCGTTCGATACAGAGAATTGGGAAACATTATTCAGAAACATGCCCAAGCAAATGGGTTTTCAGTTGTTAGAAGCTACTGTGGACATGGAATACACAAACTTTTCCATACAGCCCCCAATGTTCCCCACTATGCCAGTAAGTACTGTCCATTTGGTATTGCTTGCAACTGACTCAACAAATACTTAACAGAACCTACTATTTTCTCATTTGCTGGAGTATTGCTTTGAGCTGCAACAAATAGACTTCCTAAATGTATATTGGCTCAAACTTACAATAAGTCTCTGTCTTGCTCACAAAGCAAGGCAGTTGTTTGATCACTGCGGGGTTAGGGCAGTTGCTTTGTTTTTCACTGGAGTTCCGCTGTCTTTAACTTATGGTTTCAGCACGTGTGATCTCTCCCTTCCAATTGCCCTCCCAGACGGTACATTGCTGGGCTGAGGAGGTTTTAATGAAGGGAAACGAGTGAGGACTCTCACCTGGTGGAGCCGAGAAGAGCACAGCCTCTGACCGGGGGCAGACCACGTGACTCTGCCAGTCGTGACGTGGAAGGATCCCTCGGTCACGCCACAGCTCGCATAAATGTTAGCCATCAAAACAAGCAGCCACCTTCATTCCTGTAATTACTGAGTGCTCATTCCTCTTCACAGGATGGAGGAAGCAGCTCTGATTACAGCAGCAGCTTTGTTGGAGGGATGTATGTGTGCAAGTGAGTGTGTGTGTGCAAGGAGAGAATGAAAAGGTCCCTTTCAGAAGCAGCAAAACTCCGGTCTAGATATGAATTGTATATTCAGAGATTATTGGAGAGGATATAGTTTATAGAAGGGGACAGGGGTCAGTGGTAAAGTTGGCAAAACACGGTGCTACCAATATATAAGAAATGCGGCCTTTCTCCTGAGGAGCAGCTGGTAGATTTGGACTTCTAGCCTTATAGTTAGCAACCCAACAAATCACCCACTAAGCCACCAGGGCTCTTCAGTTTATGGAAAGTGAGGTTTATGTAAGTCACATAGGTTGTGACCCATTCTCCTGGGCCATGGAATAGATTTTCAACTACAGCACACCTGCCCTGTATTGCTTAAAGGCAGTAAGATCACCAGGTCTTCCTGCTTCAGAGATGCTGGGTATATTCAGACCACAGCCAGATGGCTTAGCAGTCACACCACCAGGATGCCTTTTGATAACTCTAAGAGGAGTGAAAGGAACCCATTAGTGGGTTCTTTTGAAAGGTGAATACTCTACATTGCTTTGTAACTCAATCTTTTTAATCCAGCTGAGGGAGGAACCAGGAAATTATTGTATAACTTCCTTTCACCTCCTTCTCCAAGTTGGTTTATCTGTATTCCTATTTGCTCTAGCTGGCTTTATTTTGTAAGAGCAGTCCTTGATTGGAGATAGCATATTACCTGCTTCATGTAAGTCATACATCATTTGTACAGACAATAGTACCTTACATGCAGAATGCTTGTTACTTTTTAAAAATTATCTTTACTCTCTTGAATTGTTTAAAATACTTCTGTGAGGTAGACAGTAGAGCAAGAAAGAAATGTAGAGCATTTTGAAGAAGAAATGTGAAGCAATGCGTTTTCCCGTACCTAATGTATAATTGTTGAGTGAGGTATGTTGAGAAACTGGAACCCGAAGAGTGAGATGAGATGGAGTTTAACTTGTTCAGAGTAATGAATCAGCAGCAGAAATAGGTGTGTAGCAGCACTGGCCAATGAAGATACAGTATGATCGATGCATCATTTCAAATTTTTACCATTCACATTTGGAAGATTAAAAAAAAAATAGTGACCTTAATGTAATGATATATTTTATTAATCCATTACATCCAGAGTATTATGTAAAATTTATTGAGATCTATTCCATGCTTTTTTGCCTTTAAAAAAGGCAAAAAAGTGTATTTTTCACACTTTCAATGCATGGTAATTCTGACATCTCAAGTGCTCACTAGCTACATGTGGCCAATGGCTGTCGTGTTCTTTAGAGCTCCAGGTGGGTCCCTTTTCTTTCCATCACACCACACTGACACTCCTGGCATTTCCTTTTCATCCTGAGGGGGAGAGATGACATTGTGAAGGATGGGAATTTCGGAGTACTTCCTTGTGCTCATGCAGAACCTGTACTTGGACCAAAAGGCTGTCATTGGAACAGAGCAAGGGGACAGTGGTTTGAAATTAGGACAGGTGTCTATCCAGCCTGTCTCCTGAGCACCTGGACTGTATGAAGAAGAATGCAGCATTAGGCTCAGAGGGGGCTCATTAACAACAAGGTGACACGACCTTAATACTGATGAAGATCAAAGGCTACCGCCTTTAGTATGGCTTACAACTCGACAGAAGTCCCCACAACTGGACCAATAGACCTCGTGATAAAAAAAGAAAATATTAAACAAGGATTTCATTTTATTTGCATCCATAGTCAACACTCATGGAAGCAGCAGTCCAGATATCAATCATTTAACATTGGTCAGATCTGTTGCAGAAAGCCTCTTTAAAGTGTTAAAGAGCAGAAATACCACTGCCTCATATACATGCAAAAATTGATGCATTTGGTTTGTAGCGCTAGCAAAGAAGATGGAGTATGTCTTGGACAGCCAGAAGAATGAGCAAATCTGTCATAGAAGTTCAGCCAAGATGCAAGGAGGGGAGACTTTGTCTGAAGTACTTTGGAATTGTAACCCGGAGGGACCAATCCCTCTAGACAAACGTTGTCTTCGTTACAGTAGGGTCAGCAAAAAAGAGAAACACCCTCACAGATGATTGGCACAGTGGCCAGAACAGTGGGCTCAAACATAACCACTGTGGGATGTCACAGGACTAGGCAGGTTTTCTTCCTGTTGGACACAGGGCACCATGAATTGGTACTGACTGACCAGTTCCTGACCACAGTAAAGGAATATAGGCCAGTTCTGCGTATAGTAAATTGCATGTCATTTGATTTGGAATCTGCAGTGTATTTTGCCACATAAAATAATGAAAGTGGCATAAGAACTATTCACAGGAAAGCTGTGAAGGAATATAAATGTGTGGTGGGTGAAACGAGGTTATACATAGTGGTGGTTAAGAGCTTGCCCCAGACAGACCCGTTTATTATTCATTAGAAAGTCGCCCTGAAGCTCTTAACAGCTAACCGCTCTCGCGGCTGATGTGTTTGCCCCATCTGGTGGTCAGACTGTGCAAATTCAGCCAGCCATTTAGCTGATGATGTCCCTGTCAGGTTTTTTGTGTTCTTTTTAAAATTTGATATTTAAACTAGTTCTTTGTATTTGTCCGGGATTCTCTAAAAAGGCATATCCCCGCCTCCCCCCTTGTCTGGGGCAGAGCAGGTCTTTGTATTCTAATTCATAGAGTGTTTCTCTTATTAATGAAATTGGCACAGGTGTGAGAAAATGCTTTTGAAGGAGAAATGAGCTTCTGATTTGAAATTAAAAGGCATTCTTTCTGAAAAAAGTATGACAATTCTCAAAAGTGTGAAAATTATGTGCACACTTGTTTCTGTGTGCTTTACCTCTTTGTGTGCGTATGCACGTGCATATAACCCTCTGCCCCCCGACACACACCCCCCCCCCCAAAAAAAAAAAAAGAACAAAAAAGAGGAAGACTTTAAACATAAACCTGAAACATGTTCTTTAAACTGTCCTGCTCTGGTGGGGAATGACATGTTGCTTGGCTTCATGATTGCAGCTGTGAGAATGGAGTATGTCAGAGGACATAACATGGTGGCCCCTTTCCTCATGCATAAGTGATAACCATATCTGAAATCCAGCCTGGCAGATTCCTGTTCTTCATGAAGACATAGGCAGAAAAAAATGTGCCTAAACAGTATTTTCCCCAAAGTAAGTGGTCGTCAGTGAAAGATCTGCTGTTTGAATGTGTACTTTAAGAGAAGAATGAACGTAAGAACTTCTGTAACTTGTGTTCGTAACTTGTAAATTCTTTCCACAGAGCTGTTCAATAGCATGCTGCTGCTTTTTGCTCTATTTTGAGGTGTGTTTTTGTTTGTTTTCTCCCCAGAAAATAAAGCAGTTGGCGTGATGAAGGCAGGCCATGTATTTACAATTGAGCCAATGATCTGTGAAGGTGAGGAGACCACAGAGGCTGTGACTTGCTGTGTCCGTATTGTTGTGTTTTCATTTCACCCCTCTGGGATGTAGTTTGTTATCGAGGGAGACCTGAAAAGTGTGAGTTGGCAAGAGGAATGGTTTCCGCATGTCCACCTGCTCTCGGTAGCACCCCCAGGACCCAACTCACCGCCAACTCCAGTCAAGGCCAATTCATAGTGACCCTTTATGACAGGCTAGAATTCAGAAGGCCTGGAATTTAGGAAGATCCCGCCCATCACAGAGTGCCCTGTTATGATTGTGAGCCCACATTCAGTCTGAGAAGTTCTTGAAACAAAGCATGGGGCATAGACGGAAAAACAGACAAGTATTTGTTGGGGGTTCACTCTGAGGCAGACCAGGTTGTATGATATAATTTTCAGTATCCTATGAAGTGAGTGATAATCCCCATTGTACAGAAGTGGAAACTGATCCTTGAAGAGATTAAAGCACTGGGCAAAAGTTACTTAGACACCTGTGTGGCAGAGTGTACTCTCTTCTAACGTTTGCCTGGTGCTGTGGAGTAAGTATCAGAGATCTGCCTTTTCATGGTCTGCAGGGCTAGGAGAGTGGGACATGAATCATGTGATATTTATCCAGCCCACCGGGTGTTTTTGCCCCGTTTGTTTTTTTACTTCAAGTTAAGATATGTGCAGTGTGCATAGGAATTTGTTCTTTTTAAAAAAAATTATAGTCTGGCCCTCCAGCGGGTCTGAGGGGCAGTGAACTGGCCCCCTGTTTAAAAAGCTTGAGGACCCCTGCTCTAGAGTGACATGAGAGCAGCTGGGACTGGGACATGGCTCTTTGTTTCCTTAGCACCGTTTCCATCATCTTCCACACTTGACGGAATCTTCATTCACAGTGGCAGTGCTGCCTTTGGTCACGAAGGAGGAACTAAAATTCAGCTATCTTTAGGTGGGCCTAAATGGTGAATTCTGTTGTACTAGCTTTCTGCCAAGTCGCTGAGTTCAGAATAGGAGCGTTATGTGACTTTCACTTAAGACGAGCTGTGACTGATGGTGCCTGGCTACTAAAGACAGCATCTGGAAAGGCCATCTATCAGGCAAACAACAGAGCCCACATCAGCCTGTGATAATGAAGTGTTGATGGGAATAGGTATCAGAAGTTCAAAAACAAGCAGTCCGATGTGTGTGAAGGAGCGTGGACAAAGCGGAGACCAGAAACCCCCCTGTAAGACAATCGGACAGTCCCTCACAGGAAAGGGGTGATAAACCCAGGCTGCAGTATAGTACTGATGAAACACATAGCTATCATTTAGTTCTTTAATATTTCTTCCTCTTACTATAATGGTTTGTGTTACTTCATTAATTTTGTTAGACCTGTGTAGATTCATTTGTATATTTAAGAGTGTTCAATGCTAGGAAGCCAAGATAGATAATCCTTCAGAAACAGTAATAGGAGTAATGACTTCCAGAGGATATGGGAAGGGGGGGGTGTTGGGGGTTTGATAGCAAAAATGATTGTATAAGCCCACTCAAAGTGAGCAAATAACAAAATTGTAGGTAAATGGATTTATTGGATGGGGTGATATAAGGCAAAAAAATTATATATAAAAACAAGAAGGCCACCTGGGGTCAGGGGGGGTGATAAAGGGTTGCTGATAAGGAGTTCAAGAAGAAAGAAAGTGCTTAGAAACTGATTGTGGTACCAACTGTATAATAATTATGCTTGACCTAATGAATTGTGAATTGTTATGACATAAAGGCCCTATTAAGTCAGAATTGTGATCTGGCTTCCACTATAAAAAACAAAATTCACTGACATCCAGTCCATTTGAACTCAGCAACCCTGTAGGACAGAGTAGAACTGTCCCTGTGGGTTTCTGAGACTGGGAGTAGAGAGCCTTACCTTTCTCCTAATGAGTAGCTAATGGTTTGAACTGCTGACCTTGTGGTTAGCAACCCAACATGTAACCCAGTATGTCACCAAGCCTCCTTATCTCTTATCAAGAACTTGGTAATTATGTGACTTGGGCACTGTATTAGTTATTGTTTGCCGTGTGGTACATTATTTTAAATTATAAATGTAAAAACCCACTGCCTTTGAATTGATTTCAGTTCATAGCAACTCTTAGGGCAGAGTCTGTAACTCTTTATGGGAGCAGACTGTAGGTGTTTATGTGAATAGGCAACATATTTATTTTCCCTATGGAGCAACTGGTAAATTTGAACTGCTGACTTTGCAGTTAGCAGTTCAGTGTTTAACCGGCTGTGCCACCAAGGCTCCTTGCCCAAGTAAGTCCACCCAAGATAGAGGATAAGACATTTTTAAATAACCCAATCCAGAGATGGTATCCTGTCATCTGCCCCCTGTTTCTGTCATTAGAAGTGAGTCTAAATCCTGCCTATACTCCAGGTGAAGATGGAATTACTTAAGAGTGTGAATACCAGGAAAGGGGGGTGGGCCGGTGGGGTATCACTGGGGACATTTTAGATCCTCCATGTTCACCTAATTCTGTTTCCTTTTCTGGAATTGGAAATTAATCTTTATCCAGCCAACACCCCAGGGTTGTTATAAGAATGAAGTGAGATGGTTTAAATTAGCTTGGGTCACCATTATTTGTCATCTCAAAGCCCAAGTGTACTGCGTTTGAGCTGGCTCCTCTCCTCTCAGCAGTCCTAAGACAGTAGAGCTGCCCCACAGGGTTTCCAAGTCCGTGAACGCGCACAAAGCAGGCTGCCACCTCTCCCACTGAGAGGCTGGTGACTTCAAGCCATCCCAGCTGGTGAGCAGCTGAGCACTTTAACCACTGCATCACTAGGGCTGCTTGGATTTATTATGGAGCCAGTGTGTGGTATTTTTCATCCTCATGGAACAAGATGAAATTTTTGATTGTGTGTGTGCCAAGGCAATAAGCATATTAATCTTGAGAGAGAAAGGTGCCATTTTGCTTAATACATGTTAGTTTTATGAACGGGTACCTAGTTGGCAGAACATAATACAGCATTTCCAGTCGTAAACAAATCTTTTCTCTGGTGGCAGTTCAGGTAATCATCAAATTATCGCTACGCCGCCTCAGTGCCACTTCACATAGACTAAATCCCAGCCCCCACAATGGGAGGTTCAAACCCACAGAGGATTCCCCTCATGGTAGTGGCCAAATACATTTAACTTGATGTTGTTAAAGAACCTTTCTAGCAGATCATAGTAAAATCACAGGAGTATTATGTCTTAAAGCTGTTGCAAAGGATTCACTACATTGGAAAAATACCTAGGTCCTAATCCATAGGTTTTTAAACAGAGCATACACAACTTTCTTTAAGCCGCCTCCTTTTCCTTTTATCCTGGGATTTAGTATCTCAGAAGTAGGTTATGTCACTGCCGAGTTTGTGCTATAGGATTTCTCTATGTGAGTCAATGAGGCCTTAAGTATTAATGTTTCACCTGAAGATTACATCAGGTTTTATTGAATTTTCTTGACAATCTAATTTGGAGACAAGAAAATCCCTGTAAATACTTACATATTTTGTAATAGAATGCTGTGGTATCTAGAATATCCTCACTTTTTCATTTCCTTCTGCCTCAGATGCTCTTGAGAATTACCTTTCCTCTCTCCCCTTATCTTCCATACACTGTGTTTCTGTCTCCCTCCTTCCCCTGCCCCCCATCCCTCTCTCTGCCATGCTGCTTCCGTTTATTTATCCATGCTGCCCTCCCGGATTTCCGTTTGCCTTCGCTGTGGTTTCAGTACTGTGGTCTCCAAGAGTTTTACAGAATAAATCTGCTCTCCCCATCTGCTAGTGTTCCTGGCATTTTAAAATTACATTGGGAATGAAATAATGTGATAACAGAATAGAAACCAACCTTAGTTCCTTCACAAGATGCACTGCTGTGGTCTAGTTAGATGCTAACGCGATAGCAGGAAAAAGCACTCAAAAGTAATGGCACTCAAACTTGCTGCGGTTCTAGGATGCGTGGGCATCACTTTGTGTTGCCAATCAGGACCGTTATTTGGAAATGCCATCTTGACTTGATATTTGGGAAATACAAGCGTCAACTATGAGCAGACTTGGAGGAAATGTAAGCAGCAGCATTACCTCATTGCCGCTAAAGACCACAATGAAGTTGGCAAGGCCTTAGCTAAGACGATGAAGGATGAAGTCTAGATGGTGATCTTCACAGTGAATTTTCTAATTCATTTTCTGCCTGATGCAAGAGTGTAGGGGGCACACTTGCAAACACACCCTTTCTCAGAGCATATATCTAGAAATAGCGGAGTGACAGAATTCAGATGTTGTCTTGTTTGCGTTTCAGGTGGGTGGCAGGATGAAACGTGGCCGGACGGCTGGACGGCGGTGACAAGGGACGGGAAGCGCTCTGCACAGTTCGAACACACCCTGCTGGTCACGGATACTGGCTGCGAGATCCTCACCCGGAGGCTTGACAGTGCGCGGCCTCACTTCATGTCCCAATTTTAACTTCTCCCAAGGTGGCACATCTCAAGAATCCCTCCTATCTGTAGTTGGCATTTCGTTGAACGTACAGAAAGGAAGCAGACGTTTTTATCACTTGTTTTGTTTTGACCTTAGATTAAGAAAGGACTACAGCATTTGATGTGTATCCTCAAGAACGTACCTTGGTTTTGGAAAAACCAAGAAGAATAAAGGAAAATTTTCTCAGCTCCTTTGAGAGCCCCCTTTCCCCTAAATAACATCCGCGCCCTCATTTCCTCATTTGCCCTTTGAGCACTTTGACTTCAGCCTGCTTCTAGTTGCATTTTTACTGCCACAACGGGCCAACAAGAGCCAGCTGCTCTCCGGGTCAGTGATGAAGATGAGAATCCTTAAAACTTCAGCAACACACGTTGCTCCGGAATTAAAAAAAAAATTGTATATGGAAATACATAGACATCTATATACATTTTAAATTCCGTAGCTGTTAGGACTGACCACTATGAGACTTTGTGTTGACTCTGCACAGGGCTAGATGCTGTCATCAATGGACCCACAGTTGCAGTGATTGAATTCCCAGTTGGGAATTGTGGGCCCCTACCCCATTCCATGCTAATTATTTACCTTTGTAAATGTGCTTAAGAAAGCACCCAGTCAATGAGACTTTCTCTACAGTGTGGGCACAGAGTGCATTGTGAATGACTGTGGCAATATTCACTTTAGAAAAAAATTAACAGCCTTTTCTCCCCACCCTCCCCCTTTGAATATCATTTGTGGCAAAAATTGCCACACTCCTAGTGATGTCTGGCTGTGGCAGGGATAAGATTGTGTAATGGACTGCCGTTCCAGACCTCTGACTGGTCAGAAATGGAAAGGAGGAAGCCCCCTTGCTTCCCCTCACACACAGTACACCGCACACCGACGGAAGGAACAACGTGGGACTGTTTGTTGGCAGTGATGAGGCGGCAGTGTGCCGAAAACACGCCACCTTTACATAGTCGGGAAGCTCACTAGAAGTGACCTCAGCTGCCCGGGACTTGTATTCCTTTCAGTATTTCAGTCCAAAGAGAGTATCTGATGAAGACCTATCAGACTACATTCATTTTCATGAGCATGTATTTGATTACCGGGTGTCTAATGGCTTTGCTGTAAAATAATCTGATACCGCTGACACAGACTTGTAAGAGAAAGTCTTTCCCAGAGTGCCTCAGACCTTTATTGCTTTAAAAGAATTACGATAATGTTTTCATTACTCTTATTATTCCAATGATTTATTAAAGTGACAGTCTGGTACAGATTTTCGGGGGTATGTGAGTGATGTTTTTAACAAACTGTCATATCTGTGAATGGTATACTTTGCAATATGAATGTTAATATAATGTGTAAAGGGAGATTAAAACGTTTGAATGATTATTCTACCACTCAGTCATTAAGTTTGCTTTATGTGTTTGGATTTTCAGAGGGAAGCGGTGGGAAAGGGTGGCTTATTCTAAGTTTTTTTACCAAACTCATGAGCACTTGACTTGTGCAGTAATTACAGCACTGTGCTTGGCTGTTTGCCAGCAGCATTTGAGATGTAACTTGTTTTTTTGTTTTTTAGAATTTTCAAGATAGATAATACTGAATATTTAGGGGATCATTTTACATGCTGACAGTGGAATTAACCACTATGTCTATCAGAAAACAAGATTGAAGACAAAAAAATCATGGGATACATTTTAGGAGACAAAACAGTGGTACGCTTTTCTCAATTTGGGAGATTTAAAAAATATTAAGTACTCATCTAATTGTGTATGCCTAATTAGAAATGTTTGCTTAGTATATTTAGGGGAGAAAATACCTAGTTACACATTGGGTCAACTTTTTACGAGACCTGAAGAAACTTTCTCTTGGAATTATAATTCAAAAGAAGAGGGAAACCTTTGCCTTTTCATTTCCTGCCACTTGCTGATAACCCATTTACCAGGTCCTTTCTACCATTTGCCAGCTACATTTCTCCAGGCGGCAAAAAAAAAAGAAAAAAAAGTTTAGTACAATTGAGAGCAACTCAACTCACTGCTATCAAGTTGATATTAACCCATAGTACATTACGTGTTGGCCTGTGAACCACAGGGCCAGCGGGTGAAATGCACCGTAGCTCAGTGAAAGAAAGACAAGGCTTTCTGTTCCCTACAGAGTAGCAGTCTTGCCCTATGAGGCCTTGCTCTGAGTAACGGTAAGCAGGATGCACTAATTTCCTAAAGTTCCCACATGACTGCCATCTGTCATGGTATCTGTAAGCTTGTTTGTGCCTTTTTTTTTTTTTTAAATCTCCAGGTTCTTATTTTTGAATTTTTCAAGTTTACAGAAAAGCTGTACATACAGTACAGTGAAATACTCATATTCTTTGTATTCCAGTTACTTTTGTTAATTTTTCTGAGCTCTATAAAAGCATGTCTTTTTGAAAGAAGTGGCATCATACTTTGCCCACTAGTATTTCCACATGTATCTCTTAAAATAGGGACATTCTCCTGCATGATCACGATATCATTTCCAAGGAATTTAGCATTCATACACAATTATATAATGAATATACTCACAGAGTCTCAATTATCCTCATAATATGCTGCTTTTCCTTACTTTGCAATGTAGGCTCCAAACCCAAGGCATTTTTTTTTGGTGGGGGTGGGGGATGTTAATTTTTTTTATCATTTTATTAGGGGCTCATACAACTGTTATCACAATCCATGCATATACATCAATTGTGTAAAGCACATTTGTACATTCATTGCCCTTATCATTCTAAAAACATTTCCTCTCCACTTAAGGCCCCAGCATTAGGTCCTCATTTTTCCCCTCCCTCCCCGTTCCCCCTCCATCATGAGCCCTTGATAATTTATAAATTATTATTTTGTCATAGGCATTTTTCTTTTAAAGAAATTTCCACTCCCCTCTTTAATCATGAAATTGACACTGGGGCAAAATGAGGCCAGTTAGCTTCTGGGTTTGTGTGTGTGTGTCCTTACGGTAGATTCAGGTTAAACCGGACATGCTACATTTTGGCAGGAGATTACATAGGTGGCATTAGGTTTTGTGCCCTAATCCTTGCATCTCTTCAGAAAGCCACATAGTGTTAGCTTGTCATCTTGCTGATAATTTGGTCAATTTCTACCTTAAAACATTCTTTGATCTAGGAGAAGATACTGGGAAAACATTTACGCAGTGGTTTTAGCATTCACTGATACTTTTGTCTGGACCAGTTATTTCCTTACATTGCTGCCAGCAAAGAGGATTTTTCTAGGTCTGTAACTTTCCTTAGCTGCCTTTCTACAAAGAAGCTTTTTCTTTACCCATCTATTGAGTTCATACATTTTTCTGTGGCACTACTAATTCTAAATTTAGCCAGAAAATCATCATGCATGAGTCATAATGACTCATGCCTATCAGTCTTTGATCACTCCTGTAATTTTTAGCACAGCAAGATCTTTTTCTGCCCAATCATGGAATTGGCTATTTCTTCAAGGAACCCCAAGTGTCTTCTGGTGGAAGGTGGTATTTGAAAATCAAGACCCGAGTAGTCACTGGGGCATCATTGCTTCTAGACCCTTCCAGGGAGCAGGCTGAGTGTTTTTCATTCTGAGTGTATGCTGACACGTTCCCACCTTTCCTTGTTGCCATATTTTCCCACAGTGAAAACCTGTATATCATGCAAAACTTTCTCAGGAGGATGACACCGCTATCACTGCCAACAATAAGCTTAGTGCACAGTTGCAATCAGAGTTTGGGGTTAAACATTATTTGAAACACTTTTCATTTTACTCATTTCATAAGCCTTGAGCTTTGAAACAATGCGGAGACTCTTGGGGGCAAAATGTACTGTAGTGAAGAGGGCATGTTAATGGCCTAAGATGAAAGACTGGAATTAGAGTGTAATGAGAATTTATTTACAATGGCTACTCTTGCACTTCTAACAAGCTCTCCAGCCAGAGGAGCAAGTGACGCCACTTTCAATTAATATTGTGGATGTGTGGTCCTCAACATGTTTAGAAAATAATATCTTGACATTGATGTTTTATAAATTGTCACCATGCATGCCAATGTTTTAAAAATTACAATGAACAGGTAAAGGTTTATATCCTTTAAATTCATTGAATCTGTTAAGCAAATAATTTGAAAAGCTGTTCTATGTATATGAAGACTGCTACATCAGCATTGGACAGAGGGTTTGTTAATCTGCAATACGCAGATGACGACCTACTGGCTGAAGGGAGGAGGACTTGAAGCACTTGATAAGAATTAAAGACTGCGGGCTTCCATATGGATTCCAACTCAATGTAAAGGAAACCAGAATCTTCACAACTGACCTGATTGATAACACGGTAAATGGAGAGATGATTGAAGTCATGAATCTCACCCTGCTTGGCACCACAATCAAAGCACACGGTCGGCAGCACTCGAGATATCAAGCAATGTATTGCGTTGGACAGATTTGCACAAGAACGCCATTTTGAGGACTAAGGTACCTGACCAAAGCCACAGTATTTGTAACTGCCTCATGTATGTGAGAGCTGGACCAAAGAATGAAGTCCAAAGAAGAATTGATGCATTTGAATTTACACGGTTGGTGAACAATATGGAAAGTACTGTGCACGGCCAGAAGAACAAACTGAGCGGGAGAAGTACAGCCAGAATGCTCCTTAGAAGCAAGAGTAGTGAGACTTCCTCTCACGGACCTTGGACATATTATCGGAAGAGACCAGTCCTTGCAGAAGGCCATCTTGCTTGGTAAAGTGGAAGGTCAGAGAGAAAGGGCAAGACCATCAAGGGATGGGCTGACAGTGGTTGTAACAATGGGCCCAAACAACAACGGCTGTGAGTGGCGCAGGACCAGGTGGTGTAACTTTCCTTCTGTTGTGCACGGGTTGCCGTGAGTTGGAACTGACGCCGTGGCACCTGACAACGGCGACAAGGAAAGACGAGCTTGGCAGCAGGGTGCGTCTGCGTGGGCATTTTGGCCCAGCTGTTAGAAGGCTGAGGGAGGAGCGGGCTCTAGTGGCTGCTACTCAACGTCCTGGCAGGCGCCTCCTTGTCTTTTGTTACTACGGATGATGAAGAAAAGGATGCATTTGGGTGTTTTTCAAGAAGACAAGAATCACGTGACCGTGGGCTGCCGCTCACTGGGGGACTACGGATGAACAGAACTGCCTGCCTGCGCATGGCAAGTTGCAATTTCATGTTCCTTGCACTTTAGTAATGTATCAATCATGACAATAGTGTACTAAAATGTACCAGTCAGTGTATGAAGTGCCCACGAAGTGCTTTTTGGCCAGATAGTCGTCACTAAAGTGCGTGTTAGTTGGTTAAAGGTATTCTAATTTTTTCTCTGGAAATCTCCAATGCTCTGCCTTTTTCTACTGTAAAACGTGTTAATAGTCTTTGCTCCCCTCTTCCTGGGTAGCGTGACTTGGCTCAGCCTTATCGCTCTTTCTCCAGCCCTTTCACCACACCCCCAGGAGCAGCCCCGTGGGAAAGCTACATGTTTTCCCCTCCCAAAACTTGTAAGCAACATGGCACAGTGCGACCGAGAACGATGGCACCAACAATCAGAACATCAAGGCGCTAATTCCACGGATGCAGGAGCTGGTTCCAGAGCTAAGAGGACAAGTCCTCTGGAGGTGTTTGTAGAGTGAGTTATTTCACTGTATGTATATGATGGTTAGAAAAACAATTATTCCAGTAGCTGGGGCATAGGGCAACCAAAAATTTGGACTAGAACTTTAAAATTTACTAAGCTATAAAATCTCATGTTTACAACTTTAAATACATCAGTCAATATGAGCCTGAGTGATGGTGAACAAACAAAATAGCTAAAAATAAGAATTATAAGTACCAGAATGGAGAACAGAAAAAGAACTAAAGGGTATCATAAAGCAAATTTGTGCATTTTTATCTCATTTAATGCATCTTCAGTGTCTAAACTGGAGGTAGTCTTATGATGGATTATTCTTCAAAAGGAACACACACATATTTAACACATTTACTGCCTGTCCAAGGAATCTGTTAGGATTTTATCCAGTTTGATAACATTAGTCTGCTTGAGAGAAGCCCATTCTAGCAGCAGCTTTGTGTCTATATGCAGAGATCTTGTGGAAGGGGCACTTTGTCTCTGTTCCTTTGGTCGTTGCTTTTTTAAAAGACAAATTCCCTTGGTATATCTCTATGCATTTATTATCTAAATTGCTGTTTAAATATGTAGTTAATGAATGTGTTCTCATCTGTATAATTTTTTTCTAAAGGCTATTTGGTGAGTGAAAACATGATATTCCAGATTAATTGTAACAAAATTGGCTGAATCTAACATTCATCTTTTTTCTGCATCACCTAAGTATGTCTGGGCCCAAAGAATGTCAGTAGCTTTAGGGTTTACTCACCAGTCTAC